GACCAAAATCCTTATTTCTTATGAGCTTCATTCAGATATATATTAGAGTGGCTCAATGCCAGAAGTTATTTTCTTGATAGAATTACTGGAAACTGTTTCAGACAATAGTGTGTGTGTGTGCACGAGCGTGTGCGTGTGCGCTTGTGCATGACTTCAAAGATGACCTTCTAAATCTGTCCACATGCTCACAATGAAATAGAAAACTAGGATTTTTCTTCAAGTAAAGCCGACATGAAATTCTTTTATCTCCTGATATCTTCAGATAAGGACAAAAAGCATTTTACTTAAAACCTCTGAACACTAGAAGTATTTCCAAACTGATCTGTACGTGTGAACTCTGAATTTTTGAATGTTTAGAAAGGCAAGAATTTTGAATGATGTCTTGTATCAAATTGAACATCGGATTGGTGTGATATGAAGAGTGGACTCAATTTTCCAGTCTTACTGATTTAAGAATACTTTAGATCCTTTTTGTTAAATACAATTTTAAAAGAAGATGTGCTGTTCAAAACCCTTTGCCAGAGGATCCACTGGCAGCTGAGTGGAAGCGTACGCACTGATACACTTGATGGTTCAGAGCTGTCAGTTAGAGAAGGTTTTCACAAGTTGTTTACAAGGCCTGAGAGATACACAGAAATGAAGAGGTGATTCTGGACTGATAGGTCTTTTTAAGGAGTTTGAGGAGGCTCTAATTAACTCTAGGTTTGCTTCCTATCTTTATTCCCAAAGAACACACTAAAGCAGTGAAACTATCTGACAAAAATCTTGCCTTTGTTACCTGGTTCTTCTACTAACCAGCAGAATGTGTGCATACTATGCATTCTTTGCATATGTGCACACAGATATGATTTTTACTTTGCTCATGTAAAGAACAGGATTGTCCCCTTGACAACATATTTTATTATTTGAACTAAAAACATGACATTGTATAGCCAGGTAACATCTGAGAACCATTAAAAAATGAAGGCAATGTTGAGGAGCTTATGCATAATGAAAAGAATAAAATCTCAAACAAGTGGCCTATAGAAAAAATTGTATATAGGCATGGGTTTTATTTTATCTCTGAGCTGAATTAGTAGCAAAAACCTAAATTTAAAAAACAGCATTTCTAAAAAAAAATTTTTTTAGATATTCCAAAATCTTTTATTCATAATAAAATTTATCTTTTAATGAATGCTTGCTGTGTGCTACACAATGCTGAGCCCTGAACATAGGTTACTCTTTGATTATCCTTACAACCCTACAAAGTGAACATGGTCAGCTGCATGTTTCAAAAGAGGATCCTTCAATGAGGATCTTTATGGTAAGAGAAACTGAACCACTTGAAGCAAGCTCACAAATGGAGTCGACGGGAGGTGAACACAGGCTGTTTGGGTCTCAAGCCCTTGATCTTTACCACCACATCACTTGCTTCCTGAGCTCTTTCCAGTCATGGGAAACCCATCTGTCTTTTATTTCTTGAGTAAATGCTCTTACTTGAGTGGTTTATTGGCCACTACTTTCTGCCCTGCTTGGTTGGTTTATCCCTCCCAGGCTTGTTTCCCAATTGAGACTCCCTTCTGTTCTTAGAACACAGCCCTAATGAGAATGATGGCTTCACTACATCAATTTCAAGATGTAAATGGCATCCTTATAAATGTGCATGAATACTTTTGACTTTCAAAATAGTGCAAACCAATGGAACATTGTTAACGGTTCATTAGCAAACTGCAATGCACCATTATTTTTAGAACAGAATGTGACCTGAGAACAATTTTTTTTTCAATAAATTACCTATCATAATTTTATTTAATGACCCTACAATGAATTCTGGAAGCTATGATTTCTCCAGAATATTTAGAAAATTTGTACTCTACACTATTAAACATCCAAACTAAAGCAGACACATAAAAATCAACATATTTAAATCAGTTATTTTATTATAGTATTTTGCTCATGAATATATAGTTTGCATCTAAATCATTTTAATTTTTATAAATATAATTATTAATAAAAAGTTTTTATTAATAAATTATGTATTTATTTTATAAATACAATTATTTAATTTTTATAATTACAATTAGTAAACAATAAACATTTCACTTGATTTCTATTATTTTAATCATGTCAAGCAAATAAGCATAATAGAATAATAGACATTTAATGTTGAAACTACATATAAAATAGTTTTATATCTATAAAGATTGTTCCTTGATCAAAGATGATCATTGTGAGCAATGATATTCAGTATACTCTACTCTGGGTATAGAAGATATGAAATATTTAACTGTCCATAATTACTTTTTGATCATGTTATATAAAGGAGTAAAGAAAACAATTAGAAATTGAAACCCTAAACATACCCTTCCCTATTGCTATTTGTATTAATAATATTCCACCATTTTTAAACTAAACTTCCAAACGCCAAGCCTGGTATTTTGAATAGAGGAGGCCCTTGATGAACACCTGTTGGAATGAAATAATCCTCATGCATTTGGAACAGCTTCTGGAAGAATGTTTTCAACATTCTGCCCCTGCAGTGTGAGCCCCAAATAATGAGTTCCATACTATCGCATGCATCTGTCACATGCCCTATGCCCGATTACCTTTATGGAGACATTTACAGTGTTAGTTTTTGTTGTTTGGGTTTTTTTTTTTGGCACCTGATAAATTCAACAGTAAACAAATCCCTTCATCTTCACTCATTTATTTCCTAAGCATAATTGACCAAAGATATTCCAAAGGTCTCCAGATGTTAAAATTTATTGGAAGTAGCATTCCCAATAACGTTAAGAGAACTTTTTTTTTTTAACCAGAAGTCAATTTTCTGTGAAAAAAAGAAAAAATTTTCTTAATTTATTTAGGTGCATTTGTCCCTTTCAAGATTAAGATATTAATACATAGCTTATATTAAAGTTTTTGTTATTGGTGGTTTACAATGCTACTAAAGAATGAATAGAATGAACATAAATATGACTTGAAAAAGCCCTAGTTTTGTAAATATTATTATTAATATTATTATTTTGTAAATATCATTATTATTATATCTTTTTAAATAAATGTCAATGTTTATGATGAAAGTAAAAATAAAATGAACATATCTGTACCTTAAAAAAGTCCTAAGATGTACGTTAAAATAACATCTACTTACAGAATTCTCCTTTTCTTACTTTATTATAAAATCCTTTAACTATTTATATGAAATAAAAACTGATTATTGCTACAGGTTATTTAGGATGAATTTCTTCATACTGTAATTTGTTCTTGACATAAAAACCAACTAAGAAACTGGAAGCTCTGTTAATTTTAATAATTATTTTAAATTTGTAGTGGTATACATTACAAACATGCGTTAGAGGTATGTGTATAAGCAAGAAACAAATGAAGCATCCTCAGTACATGGGTTTGGAGTCAGGGACCTGTGTTGTATCAGAGTTTTGCCACAGAACTGTACTGGTTAGTTACTTAATTTACCAAATATAATTCTGTAAATCTTTAAAATGGTTGCAAACTCAAAATATATGATGAGGCTACCTTATCTTTCTTTTGAGATGAAAAACACAAGATCAATATTCATATCATCTCTAGGAAACGTAGTGCCCACTTCAAGATCTGTATAAATCTCTGTCGTGGGTTGAATTGTATATACCCAAAGTACACATGCTGAAGGCCAAACTTACAGCACCTCAAATGTGTTCATATCTGGAGGTAGATTTTTCTAAAGGAGGTCATTAGGATGGGCCCTAATCCCATATGCATGGTGTCCTCGTGGGAAGAGGACCCGCGGCACAGAAACATTTTAAGCACAAGGAAGATAGCCCTGTGCAGTCCAGGCAGAGAGGCTGGGAACCCACCCCTGCCTCATCCTCAGAAGGAACCAGCCCTAAAGAGAGTTGACCTTGGGCTTCCACAGGTACAGCACTGTGGGACACTCAGCCTTTGTCCCTGGAGTCACCACTGTGGCACTTGTTTCCATCAGCCTTAGAGGACTGCTATGGTTCCTGAGGACTGTACAGTTGGTTCTGGTGCCAGTGCTGTGATTCCAATAAACCCTATCATCTGTTTCCATGAAGACATCACACCTGAAGGGAGAAGACCTGTTCTTTATTTCCTGTTTTGCATTCACCTACAAGAGAAAATAAGCCCCAACCCTTGGGGTTCCTAAAAGCCCCTCACCCGATGGCTGAGGTGACGCATGATTCAACACTACAGCAGCACAGACAGCAAAGCTGAGCATCCTTCATCCCTGGTGCAAGTGCTCCCTGTGCTGACCGTGAGGCTCTTGACCTGTGATACTGCCCTGCAGGTTTCAGACTCCTCCTCCTGGGGACATGGGCTCTTCATCTCTTGTTCCTCAAATCTGCCTCTCAGAACACAATCTCCCAACTTTTTATCCTCCTAAGTTATTTCTCTTTATATCCTCTTAAGAAACTGCATTCCTTGCATTTTATTACGGCGAAAATCTGACATTCCATTTGGGCCTGGCTTTGCGTTAATAAAATCTAAGGGTTTCCCACACAGCCGTCAGGAGTCCTGGCTAAAACTTAGAAATGTCAGGTTTACTTTTCTTCTTCCTTCATCTGTCTTCAAAGGCAGGAAAGGTGGGGGAAGGGAGACGTGTATTTTCTGTTATTTTAAATTCTACAGTTGTTTTTATGTCTAAATAACTATGTATCTTTTCTCCTACTATCTAAGGCCTTGATGAGTTTTGTGGGGACAGAAGATAAAATGTCTGTCTCAGTGGCTGACATATAAAGGATGAATAACACATGTTTGATGAGTAAGGAAGTCAATAACTAGCTTAAGGGTTAGCTGATATGCATAAGTGTGTATCTATCATAAAAATGGATCACTGCAGGAGGACGTGTAGGAGGCCTACCAGAGGAGAACCACACTGCAAGAGGATCACAATGACAATGCAGAAGGCAAAGCAGAGATGTCAAGAAAACACGAGCAGGTTGAATGTGAAGTGCATGATGTGCAGTGGATGCAGCCATCTGCACAGGTGCTACAGGTCTTACCTACGAAACAGTCAAAGAGTTGTTCAGCTGTATCCTTAGTGTTCTTTTCTGAGCAAACCTCTTCACTTTTTTCTATATGGCTGGTGGAGGATTTTCCACATCTCCAAGCTCCTTTCTTTGGCTTCACAACACTTTAACTCACATCTTTCCTTTGCAATGGCCTATAAGTAATAAGGAGGACCAGCTGAACCTTGCACACATTGCTTAGAGATCTCCTTGGTTACATATTTAATTTCATCACACTCCGGTTCTGACTTCATGGAACACTAGATCACAGCTCAGCCAGTCTTTGCCATTCCACATCAAGGACCACCTTCCTCCAGGTTCCAAGAAGCTGCTCCTCACTTCTGAGACATCACCAAAATGTCTTTTAATATCCATATTTCTATCAAGGATCTCCAGGTTTTCATGGAAATCTTGGCTTCTTCCAGCATGAACCTCAAGAGACTTCTGCACCTACCTATCTAGCACCTAGGCCAAAAGATCTGCACACACTTCCAAGTAATCGCCACTCAGCAAGCCCTACTACACGGCAATCCATGGAAGGACCTCTTAATAGAGGAATTTGACAAGGAAAGTCCAATGAAAAGTTTTCCTTCAGAGTCACACTGCTTCAATATTCCAGATATTTCATTAGAGAGTTCTAAAACCAGTTCATTATATGAAGTATCATAGATTTATGTAACATAGCATCTGAGTTCACCAAAATGCATGTATTAAATATATGTTTAGCCTTCTCAACATAGGCCTCTTTAAAAAGGGGCTATCAAATCATTCCATAAAATATTCTAAATCTATAGTCTAGATTAGTAGGGTGCAGTCATTTACCCATGCCAATATAACAGGTAAATCCAGACATAAATACAGATAGGCATCATGAAATATAATTAATATGTTTATATTTTATAAATAAATAAAATGATTTGGTAAAAATTTTTAAGCATCCTTTGTCAGAACAAACTGTTCCCTCTTTCTTAGCCCTTCTATTTTTTCTACTTTTTATTGAAAAAAATTTATAATAAAATTATGAGGAACATTAGATTTTAATTTATCTTAATATCCTCACCTATCAAATATTCATTTTGTGTGTGTGTGTGTGTGTGTCTGTGTATGTGTGTGTGTGTGTATGTGTGTGTGTTGGGATAAAACCCTGGGCCTTGGGCATGATAAGGAGGCACTTTAACATGGAGCTATGTTCCAGCTTAAAATATCCAATATTTAAGTAAAAATTACATTTTTAGTTGAAGCCGTGAGAGCTATTGACAAAAAAGGATACCAAAGGTTTTACACAGGCTTTATTTGCTGGTCTGTAGAGTTTAGTAGCTTTCAAAATGCTGCAAGAACAGTGATTTTCTTAGTAGAAAATATTGTGCAGCAGATGCCCCTGCACACAGTGGGATTTCTCAGGTCTCCACTCTTCCAAACTTCACTCCTTCTCCTCTGACATATTCTGCTCATCTGGACCTGGTGGGCTGCCATCAATTCCACCACACTGGAGACATAGGCTTCAATAAGCTCTCGGAGACTTTGCTTTCTCTTGTCTTCCACCTGGAAACCCAAAGTGCACCACATGTACTGTACTGCTGGATTCTGTATGGAAATGAGTCAATAGTATACATAATGAGGACAGGGACTTTATTAGGTGGACTCCACAATCAGACTGCACAACCAGGGGCTGAACAGCCCCCCAATGGCTCTCTGCTGGCTGGGGAGCCACATAGATTCCCGGCTCCTCAGTTCAAAATGCCTGAAGCCTTCTGCTTCTGAGAGAAGTGACACAGCCCGGGTCCAGTCAGGAGCTAAAGGTCTGTCTGAAAGCCCCCCAAGAGCCCTGGTCCCAAGGCTGAAGAACATGCAGTCTGATGTGTGGGGCACCCGCAGCAGGGGTCGCCTGCTCAGGAAGGAAGGCCTGATGTGAGAGCAGCTCCCCTTCAGTCTTCCCACCACTAGGCCCCAGCCCACCATCTCCAACTTGAGGTCATTTTAATGTGAAGTCCCCTGACTGCTTCTCAGGCCTCTTTCTTCTCCCTCACTGGACAGACATTCCATGCTTAAATGAGTCATGCATTCAGATGAGGCACTGGCTTAGAGAGATAAGGGCGACTGTAGCTCCCTCTAATAAAAAGGGAGACTGAGGCTTAGTGAGCTAATTGCTTATCCTTATTTAACCTGAGATGAAACTGTAATGAAATCACAGAGCCAAGACTCCATGATGCTCCTCCAGAGCCCATTCACTTTCTGCTCCATGAAAGCCATTTTCCTGTCCGTGTCTGCTGTCTAATTGTGTCCACGTATTAATGCACGGGAAACTCATATCTAGGTGTGATATTTAATATTTATATTTAGAGTGTTGCAAAGGGACCAGACTTCAAAACATAATCCAGTTCACCAGGACTCAGGAGCATATTAACAGCTAAGCTGGACGCCATGAGGGCCACACATTTACAACATGCAGCGCAGCATTGAGATCTCGGTTCCAAAAGAAGAAATATCCAATTAATCTCATGCCAACAGTAGGGAGATTGGCCCTGCCTTACCCAAGGTAGGTTGTGGATCCAACCAAGGGGCATAGAGTCGCTCTGCTGCCTGTCCTTCTGTAGTCTCTCTAATTATTTCAGTTTGTTGTCCCAGCTGATTCTAGGACATAGCAAGTCTTAAACTTTTGAGGCTTAAAACAAAGTCAAGAATACGTGGTAAGCTTGGTGCAGTGAAGCATGCCCATAATCCCAGTGACTCAGAAGGCTGAACCAGAAAGATCATGTGTTCAAAGCCAGCCTCAGCAACTTAGCTAAGAAACTTGGTGAGACCCAGTTGCAAAATTAAAATAATAATAATAATAATAATAATAAACAGACTGGAGATGTGGCTCAGTGATTAAGTGCCCCAGGGTTCAATCTGTGGTACAAATAAATAAATAAATAGTTTGAAAGGGAACTAAGCAGATTGGACATGAGATCAGGTCATAATGTAAGAGGCAGAACTACGAGATGAGCTTTACCCTGGGAACTATGAGGAACTGAGTAAGAGAAAAGCAGAGAAAAGAGGACCATGTATGAGTGTCAGTAATCCAGGGAGAGGGGGACAACCAGCCCAGCAAGGCTGCATGAGAGAAGAACAGGCAATGGGGTCTGATCCCACAGGATTCCACACCTGGGTGAGATACCTTCACCAACTGTGATTGGTTCAACAACTCATAACCATGCTGGCTTAACACATGGGAGCCCTGAGTCTCGTCTATAATTCTTCTGTTTACTGGCTTACCGATTATCTGAGTAAAGCTGTGAGTCTTATTGCATACAGTGCCTCCATTTTTTTTCTCTTCCAAGAGGCACCTATAGCCCGGGACCCATTGTTCTGCTGGTGTCTCCCCATATAACAAATTCTCTGGACACCCACCACTTGCCAATTCCTCCTGCATGTTGCATTTATTGGCTCTTCTTATGAGAAGATATATGCTCTCAAATTATTTTAAATTCAAATGAAATTTATGATCTAATAGAGTTGTCCCCTCTTGCCCAATGTTCTGATTCCTGAGGTCTCAATTACCTGCAGTGCTCCATCATCACCATGGCTGTGTCAGCACCAGTTCCAGGTAGCCTGGTGCTGCTTCTAGTGCTGATCCATTAGCTTCTCTTCCTCTTGTCGGTACCATCTCAGAAAGAGGGGTGTGTAGGGTAGCAGTGCATTGTGAGGGAGACAGCATTCCCCTAACTTTCTTCACTATCTATTGCTATCCTTGTTTTGTTTCATAGTCAGTCATTGTTGAATTGTTGATCTCTTATCATGTCTAAATTTAAGTTAAACCTTATCATAGTTATGTACTAATATTAAAAAATAAAAAAGCAAGTATATATTGGGTTTGATGCCATACATGGATCCAGGCAACCACTGTGAGTCTTAGCATGCAACACTGTCATATACTATGTTCATATAATGCATTACATATGACACAAATCACAATATTAAGTAAGTGTATATACTATAAAGTTTGTTCCTCAACTCCAGTGCATTTTTTGAAAAATCTGTAGCTCCCTCATTCTATATTCCCTGGGATTTTATTTGAAGCAAAGTTGAAAGAGAAAAGGAGGAAGAAAGGGGAATTGCAGTGTGGACTAGACCTGTGGAAGCAGCCAGTCTAGTGAAGAGGTGGAGCTCAGCCCTCCAATCCCTATCTCACACCTCCCTTCACATATGTGTCTGACTTACACTGACTCCACCAAACAGCATGCACGGACCTTATGTCCTGTGCAGGAAACACTGAGCCCTTCCGTCTCCACTGGCCTTTCTAACCAAGGTCTCCTAGGAAATCAGCTGACCCAAGAGCTAGTTTGACATATGTACTACCCACCCTCATGGACACCAGGATCAGTTTCTCCCACTTTTCTTCTCTACAAGTTTTGTGTGGATCCCTCTGTCTATGGTTCTTACATGATTTATCATAAGGCACACACGTATCTGTCAGTGCCCCAGTTTGCAGTAAATGACCAAGCACCTGTGGAAAAGGAGGCCAGCATAAAAGTAAGCTGATTCTATAGGTGAATGAAATACACTGGCGTATCAAAAACACAGTGGGACCTCATTTTGTTGTGGTTCCTCATAATAAATATGTTAGTGTCCTGTAGCTTAAACTCAAAAGCTTGATGCACTGTAATGCATTTATGTACAAGCCATTATTTTTATAAATCCACCTGGGTTCAAAAACTGAAGAAGCTGTCTAGGGTAAGTGGAATAAAAAAGCACAATCAAACAAAAACAACTCATCATTCCTCCCTGTAAAGCACAGGAATTGTTTTAATTCTAAAATAAAAAAATTGGATTTAAATCACTAACATTTTTGAGAAGTGGAATTCCTCTTCCTCTATCTCAAAAGTTTGCATGGTACCCCAATATAAATAGCAGCCATGAACCTGACTGGTACCCTATTTACTTGTTATTTTTTGAATCCTGCTTTCTTTCAGGTCAGTAAGATCTCACAGTGAAGGTCAAGGACAATGAGCAACAGAATTTGGAAATGACTATTTGATAATTTCCGAAGTTCTTTCTTGCTCTCCAAAGCTTTAAATCAACACAATTGAGTTTCATCAAAGCCAAAGACTCAATTTGTTAATATATTTTATAACCTGATCTGCAATTTTAGTGTTTTAAGTAATTGTTTTAAATTGCTAAAATCTTTTTTTTTAATGGAATCATCATTGGTAAT